GTGTGCTGACAGGTTTCCTACCCGGGAAGAATTCTGGGGATTCAAGACCCCCAGGGCTACACACCTCTTTGGATACCGCAGCAGTCATGTTTCTTTCAGACTCTGGAATCAAAGCAAAAGAGAATCAATAGAAACGCAGGCAGTTGTTAAGACTGTAAGTACAGGCATGTGAGTTAGGGTTGAGTTAACTGCTAACTAAATTATTTCCATTGTTTTCCTTAATAATACAATCCTCAGCCTTGCTCCCCCTGCAGCCCCCAACTGAACACAGCAGATCTTTCTACACACACAAAGTGCACGGATGAATCTTTGGCAACAAGCATCTCAAGTCCCACCCTGCTACTTGGTGGGTATATGATCGTTCGTTCACAGGTCATTAGCAATGCTGGCGCTGGGAGATGGAGTGATGAGCAGAGTGGAATTCAGGCCTCCAAAGAGTTTACAGTCGCCTCAGTAGATAGTGAACTATCCTGAGATCTTAACTACAGGATGAGTAGGAGCTTTTCTCAATGAGCAGGTTGAAGAAGAAAATTGAATTAGAAAGATATTAATTTATTTTTGCCAAAGGACCCAGGGTTTCCCAGATCCCAACCTTGACTTTTGGGCTACAGAGGAAGCAGATAACACATTACTAATCTGGACTTTGGTCCCAATGCCTAAACTACTCTATAGTGGACTCCTTGATTTTATAGATCTCATGAGCCTTGAGTAAAATCCAGTCTATTTCTACCCCAAACCCCAACTTCATACCTCCCAACTCCAGTTTGATCAAATGCCCCACCTACCAGCCTTAGAAGAAAAGGGACCAGTGAGTAGTTTAATCCAGTCATCAAAGAGCCCTGCCCACCGGACTGCTTTGCTGGCCAGGAGGAAACAAAAAGTTAGGAGAGGACCAGGTGAGGCCCTAGGTCAATTAAGGAATGCAAGAGAATGAAGAGACTGGGTTTTTATGGGATATGCCTTTTGTCTCTCAAAATGTCCATCTTCCAACAATGATCAGGAAAAAACATAAGTATGCATGTTTAGTCAACCACTTATTTAACAGGGCAGGAGCACTGAGTGAACAGTTAAAGATGAGGTCAGACTGCAGGGGTATAAAGCCACCAAATCACAAAAAGACATTTGAACTTAGCCTTATATATTAAAGGTAGCTCTGGTGGTGTAGTTAGCAGTTCAAAACCACTAGCTACTCCTCGGAAGAAAGATGATGTTTTCTACTCCAGTAAACAGTCTCAGAAAAAGCAGGGGGAAATTAATTTTTTTAAAATGCAGTCTCAACATATGATGAAATAATAATAATTTATGAATTATGAAGGGTTCACGAGGGAGGGGGGAGTAGGGAGGGAGAGGGAAAAATGAGCTGATATTAAAGGCTCAAGTAGAAGGCAAATGTTTTGAGAATGATGATGGCAACAAATATACATATGTGCTTGACACAATGGATGTATGTATGGATTGTGATAAGAATTGTATGAACCCCCAGTAAAATGATTAAAAATAAATTTTAAAAAACTGTTTTAAATACAGTCTCAGAAACCCACAAGATGCAATTCCATAGACTCTTTGTGGGTCAGAATCCCCTCCATAGCAGTGAGTTTGATTGGTTGGTGTCATTGAATGGCCCGTGAGGGTGTGACATAAGATTGAAATCTGGGGAGACTCTGGCTGCTGCATGACGAATGGAATGCAAAGAACAAAGAAGAGAAGCAAGAAAACCCAGTTGAAAAGCTATTAAGAAAAGAGATGAAAGTGACCCAAACTGAGATTAGATGGTAGGAATAGAGAGATAGCAGAGTAGTGGAATCAACAGGGCAGACCTGTGGAGGGAAGTAAGAGACCATCAGGATAACAAAGGTTTCAGGCTTTTCCTGAAGACTGAATACAAAACAAGGAACAAAGAACGATGGCTGTGATTAAATTGTCCCTTCCTGGGACCTTCACACTCCTCAAAAAAAAAAAAAAAAGGGTCAGTCACTACAATTGCTAATGTCCTTCTGAGATTATTTTTCAAAGATTTACAAAGGAAAAAGAGGATAGCTGAGTTGCCCATTTCACTTTTAAGCTCTGCATGACTGTGACTTGAATTTTTCTCCCAGTTTGGCTGTACACTGGGGCGAGTAGGAAGGAAGGCTATAAGAAAATACCATAAGAGTTATTTCAGGAAGGACTGTAAGACAGTGACTGACTTCTAAAACCCAAAGGAGAGGGTATTAGAGCTTACATTCTGAGCACAGAAGGCAGCAGTTTACAGTGGAAGCCTGAAATCCATTTTTGAGCCTGCACATAAATTCAGCCGTCATTGAATTCTTTCTGACCACTTAACCAGCACTGTGAATTACCTGGCCCTCAGGCAGAGTGCATTAGAAAATGGACTGCCACCACTCCCCTAGCCAGTCCAGGGAAGGTCAGCCTAGCTTTGGAGAACTTCCTTGAGTATGTCCTTGTTGGAGTTTGGAGTATTAAGTCAATTGGGATGGTTTTGAGTTCCACCCTGACTGCCTTGGTCAAAGGGCCCTGAACCAGCCTTGTAAACTCTTCTATCTAATACAACGTCTGTGTTCCAATCATGGTCCCATTCCCACTTCCATAGTCTAACCTACAATTGTAATGTATTGATCAGCAACCAGTCATACTTTTGTGACAGTTCCCCTTGGACCCTCATGACCTATTTATGTGATCAGTTTTCTGTAAACCCCTGTATGTCATAATGCCTTTGTGCTAATGGTCCCCCTTGGCCAGATGAATTGTTTCTGCCTTGTCTTTGTGCAGTTTAAAACTTAACAAATGTGTCACTATAAATTATATTTGGGTTTGGGGGTCTCTCTTGTTCCCTACAACAGAAGCAAGACAGTGTTAGCTATATTACAGGATAATAGGTAGCCTTAGCAACTGAGACTCCATCAGCAATGGAGAGGCCGGAGTGCTCATCTTACAAGATGGAACCCAAGGAAAGCAGCTAGACGCAACAAAGGTAGTAGGATGGCAGTCCCAAATGGAAGGACTGGACCGGAAGAAAATAAATGCCATCACCAAGATCACCTGTTCACAGAGTGCAAACACCTTAGACGTCTCTCAGAATTCCCTGACACCTAGGATCCCTAGAACACTTGCTGACTATTTTTCTCACCATTAAAGCAAAAGTAAACATGAGTTTCTGTCTGTTCCCTCAGATTAGATTCCTAAAAGGACAAGTGCCAGGTCAAAAGTTTTAACTTTTCCTTCCTTTCAACAAAGATTGTAGCAAGTTGTGTATTTAATCACTTACTTATTTTTACCCAGATATTGAGGATTAAATTAATCTTATTTCTCACTTACGGTGAGTTATTATCATTGGTCCGGGCAAGGCCCTTCTCCTTGAATTTATTTACTCACTTACTTATTCTTGTCTTCCTTCTCCGATCTCACTGTCCTTTCCCACCATAGGCAATCATTCCAGTCTGTTTAGTAGACACCCGCTGGTTTCTAGGTATTCATTTACAACGTGTACCATTCTTTTAAGGAGCCTAGTGATACAGTGCCTTCCATGTTGGGCTTATAACTGCTTCCAGGGAGAAAGATGACCCTTTCTTCTCCCGTCAAGACTGGCAGCCTCAGAAACCCACAGGAGCAGTTCTGCCCAGTCTGATAGGTCGCTATGAGTCAGAGCCATGGCAGTGAGTTTGGTTTGATCACTGTATTCAATGCATGTGTCTTTCTTTCATAGAAATCATCCCAAAAAAATCATCTTATGAGATTTACACACACACACACACACACACTTCTTTCCCTCACAGCAGCATGTTGTATTTTCCTTTTTTTGTAAAATTTGGTCTGTTGCAGAGAAAGAAAAAAAAAACACAGAGTCCTGATACATGCTACATTGTGGGTAAACCTTGAAGACATTATACTGAGAGAAGAAAGTCAATCACAGTAGGAGAAATATTTCATGCCTCTCTCATGGGAAGTAGCTAGAATAAGCAAATAGAAACCAAAGTTTATTAGTCACCAGGTAAGGAGAAAGGGGGAGTCGTGGCCTAAAAAGCATTGAGTTTCTCTGGGGTTTGGATGGAAAATTTGGCAAATATTGGTACAACATGATCCAATGTAATCGGTGTCAGTAAATAGTCCAGGTGAAGATGTTCAATTGGCAAATGTATGATATATACATACATGTTAGGTTTCTCGGGTGGGTAATACCTCGGTTCTTGGCTTCGCATGAGAAAGAATTCATGCCGAAGCCTCGTTTGTAATCCAAGTGGGGTTCTATAAACCTGTAAAAGTTTCAGGTTTTACAGTCTCAAAAAAGTACACGCTATTTCAGAGAATCGTGCCAAACCGCGAGGAAGCCGAGCTGGGGCCCGCAACTGAACACGTGCCACCTCGTGGGGCTGCACGCCCACAAGAGGTGACCTGAGGCCAGGGAGGCTGCTGCCCTGGAGGCGCAGCAGCAGGGTAAAGAGAATGGCGAGAATCTTCTCAGCGAGCACAGTAAAAGGAGACCCGCCTTCCCGCTGAATTTAAAGCTGAGGAGGCATGGTTGATAGTATTGGTTTATCCCATTTGCTGAATTAAGCCCACTTGAGTGGGGTCATGAGCCTGGGCCAAGTTTGGGCCGCCCAGGTGTAACACCCAACTGGCTTGGGGCCTGCCTTTGAGCATGCCCAGTTAAAGTCTTTATGGGTGACTAATGCTTGCCTCATTTTCCTTTCCCAACCTCCTGTAGGGGGCCTGGGCAGGCCTGGGAGGAACAACCCTGCTGTTCTGTCGGACTACCTAACCCATAGATCTTATATATACGCATATATTATTGCTTGTGGTCGTTAGGTGCCATCCAGTTCGTTTGACTCATAACGACTCAATAGACAACTGAACGAGAACCTCGGCCCACTCATACACCATCCTCACAAGGTCACTCCATCTCATTGAGGGGCTTCCTCTTTTCCTTCTTTTTTTAACATTTATTTATTTTAACAAGTTATTAATATAGGCTTCGTGAATGATACATTTCAATGGTTAACATGATTAATATGGAGTGTCTCATCAATGTGTGTGCCATCCATGTACAGGGGCCGCCCTAATCGTCTGTGTCTCCTTCCCATGTGTAGTATATGTGCTGCCAAAGCAAGCACAAGGGTCTTTCTCTGACTGACCCTCTGCTTTACCGAGCATGATGTCCTTTTGCAGGGACTCATCTCCTCTGGAAACATGTCCAAAGTCCATGAGATGTATAACAATAATACTAAAGATAAGTTGGCCTGTTGTTTTTTTTTGTTTGTTTTTAATCATTTCATTGTGGTCTCATACAACTGCCATCATCATTCTCAAAACATTTTCTTTCTACTTGAGCCCTTGGTATCAGCTCATTTTCCCCCTCCTCCCCCCACCCCTCCCTCCTCCTCATGAGCCCTTGATAATTTATAAATTATTATTATTTTGTCATGTCTTACACTGTCCGATGTCTCCCTTCACCCACTTTTCTCTTGCCTGTCCCCCAGGAAGGGGGTTATAGGTAGATCCTTGTGATTAGTTTCCCCTGTCTCCCCCCACTCCCGTGGTCTGTTGTTTCTAACTGCTGTCACTCAATCTACCTCACTCTTCTCCGGTGACTTCTTGATGTTACCCTAACTCCACCCATTTCCAGCAAGTAAATTCTGACTCCTAATGACTCTTTCTGTGGGCTGACTCATTGTGAACCCCTGTGGGTTTAGAGATAGTGTTTATGGGGAGTAGAAAGTCCAGTCTTTCTCCCTGGTAGTTTTGAACTGCTGGCTACTGGGATTACAGCCCAATGCATAACTATTACACCACCAGGGCCCCAGCCTAACAACCCTATACAAATACTCTCTGAGGCTGTAAATCTTAACAGAAACAGATAGCCTCATCGTTCTCCTGCAGAGCCATTGGTGGATTTGAACCACTGACCTTGCAGTTAGCAGTACAGCACTCACCCAACAGTGCCACCAGGACTCCTTTCTGAAAATGTAGAACAGTCAACTACTTCCACCTCCCCACAACCAAAAACAAAATTGCCATAAATATCTTCATATAAGCTCCTGATGAGAATTCCTTTGGGTTATCTACCCAGTAGCAGAACTGGATATATTATAGTTGTGTGTGTGTTTGTGTGTGTCTGTGTGTACTTAACCATTGTGTTCTTCCACAAATTTTCTGATCACATTTTTAGTCCTCCACTGCATTTCTTAAAGACTAATTTAGTCTGTAATTTATCATAATACATTGAATAAATGTGATACACGTGTCCATACATGAATCCATAATGATACTCAAAAAGAGAAAGGAGAAAAAAACTAATTTGCCATCATTGGAAGTACTATCACACGAACTTCTTTCTCAGGAAACTGGTAATTAAATAGAAAGAATGAAACATTTAACCTGCCTTTTTAGGAAGAAATTAGGTTCATCCCCAATTGATGAGGGAAAACCCTTCTTTACAGAAGAATGTTAGCTACTAAATGTGGAAGGATTGATAGAATTAGAAAATCACCATTTTGTATTCTCCAATGAGATAATTGATTTAGGACAGAATCATCAGTGAGCATTTAGCCTTTAAAAAGGCAAGCAAGAAAAGCCCAATTTACCATTATATCTACTGCCCACCACTCATTTGCTCTGCACACGTCTCCAATTTACTTTCTGCTTCCACTTTCTTGAAATTGTGTGCTGAAGGACAATAGTGGCTTCTCAATTGCTAAACACAATGTGTTTTTTTCTTCTCAATTTTCACCCTTTGTGATTTCTTTATGGCTTCCAACATTAAAGGCCACCTCTCTTTTCTTGTAACACTCTACTTTTATCTACAAAAGACCAATTATCTGTTGCTGCGTCCATGCCACACTAATGTTTAGTGCCTTAAAACAATAATGTATTATTTTTCTCATGGCTTTGGAGGTTGGCTGGGCTCAGTTTGGTGGTTGTCACTTAGGACCTCTCATGAGATTTCATTCAGACAGTGACTCAGGCTGAAATTATCTGATACATATCTGGGTTACACTTCCAAGACGACTTCTTCATCACATGTCTGGCATGTCAATTGAGATGTTTGAAACGGGGCTGGCGGGGATCTCTTTCCACATGCTTAATCTAGATTTCTTAACAGTGTGATGGTCTCAATGTCAATAACCTTCCTACAGAGTGGCTGGTAGCCCCCACAGCAAGAATCCCTGGCAGAAGCAGCATGATTTCTTAAATTTAGACTTAGAAACCACACAGTGTCACAATCACCACCTTTCATTGGTCCAAACCTGAGTCACAGGGCTAGTGCACACTCACTGGGCAGGGACTACACAAGGGCATGAACACCAGAAGCTATTTATTGTTCTTTGAAAGGCATGTTTACAAAGGCAAGCAATAGATTGTCTGTAAATTCAACATTAAAAAAAAAAGCAAAACAAGTCTAAAAGCACAAATGTCATCTTAGTTGCATTGATAGAACTTACTGAAAAGATCTTGATGGATTCCAAATAGGAGTGATGTGGCATGGATAAAGCCATGTTCATTCAACACACCAATTCCTCTTCCTTCAGGGCCAGAAGTCTACTTTTCTCAGCTTGCCTTGCGGTTAGGCTGGGCCCATGTAAGTAACATCTGACTAATGGGATGTGAGGAGAAGGGATTGTTGCTCCTAATTTACAGCAGTTAAGGGTAGTTGAAATACTCTACATTGTCTTTCTCATCCGTTGGCCTGACCTTGGAAATCATCATCAAGATTGTATTCTAAGAAGGAAGGAGAAAAAAGATTAAAAAGAAGACACGACCTTCCTTTTTTTTTTTTGACCTTCCTTTTTAAGGCAGAATCTAACAGTTACCAAGTCAAGTCTAGGACCCCAAGTTAATTCATGGCCATACCAGCCTGCAAGGAAGCTGGGAAATGTAGTCTTTATTCTGGGTGGCTTTATTTCCAGTAAAAGTCAGGAGTTGTTATAATTATAAGAAAGAAGAAAACAATGAGTACTGAAGGACTGCTAATGGTTTCTTTTTCACCCAATATGGATCATCTAATATTTCCAGATTGGTTTCTGTAGAAGGGGAATAACATCAAGACCCTTCCAAAGCTAAATATACAACCCACCCGCGTTTAATTGTTTTATTTTTAACAGTATATTTACACATATATAATCCAAAAGCAATTTTGAAATACTCAGACTTTATTAGCTCATTTAATACCTTTCAAAAGTATCAGTTTTCATAGGACCAAGCACTCTTGTGTTTCCATAGTTTAATTTTTTTAAAATCATTTTACTGGGGGCTTGTACAACTCTTTTTTTTTTCTTTTTTTTTTAAATCAATTTATTGGGGCTCATACAATTCATCACAATACATAGAT